TTGATCATGTCAGGATATCTGCAGCAGCGGATGGGTGGAAACTAAATGATGTTATTGCGGAGTGTTCACGATGGGAGAAATATCTTAGACAACAGAACAAGTTTCAAATGAATGTCTGAGAGGAGTGAAGGTTCTGAACTATTCAAATTAACATGATTGATGATCTTTATATGAATATATACATGACAACTTATATATTAAATTTATTTAGTATTTGTTATACAATGAATGTACCTATATTTTGTCCTCTTGGTCGTATTTTGGGTGACTCTGGTATATATTTCCAAAGTTCACCACCGGAAATTAGGCCTGCACTGTAACCCCGCAATATAATTTCTCTTTTAGTTTGTTGTGTAAGTGCATGTATGAGATGTGAATGTTGCCTTGTGGAGAATGCGTATGAATGATGAAATACATCATTATGTCTAAAGAAAAATGTTTCCCTTGAAAATGACTGATGTACATGGTTGGTAAAATACAACATTATGTCTCAAGAAGAAGAAGAAGAAGAAGAAGATTTCTTTTGAGAATGACAATTGTATAGGTATGTTTCCTGGTTGGATATCCTAAGGTTTGTCGGTTGAATCGTTGGAAGTTTTGTGGCTTCGTTGGAAACTATGAGATTTCTCTAACTTTTCTTTAAAGTATAAAGGTTATAAAGAAATCATAAAGAAGACTGATAAGAAAATAACATATGTTTATGATCACTTTATTGAGTGCTATTCTTGTCATACTCCCAAATTTGTTGATTCAGATGATTTGATTATTAGTAATTATAATCATAGATTGATTTTATGTTGATTGAAGACATAAAGATTACCTTGGTTCATTATTGATAATCATATTGATTGGATTATTAGACGAAATGTTGTCTTTGGAGTACGTTATTTTCTCAAAATAGTTGTCACTTTAAAGTTAAAAATTTTGTTTACCGGGAAGCCAAAATTGTTTTCTTTTCCTAAATTAAAATAAAATAATTAATGTTGTCCTAGTGGGAGAATGTTATAAATTTTCATGCTTGTAGGCTAACATTAATTATAATTTTGTTTTAATTAAAATCGGGTAAATGTGTAATCCAAATAAGATATCCAGATGCGTTTTATGTGATCGTTCTAAGATTGTCCAATACACTTCATTAGAATAATATGGGTAAACGACTAGTATGGGTTTGAGCTTTTAATGGGCTTCAAGGTTTATTGAGCTTTAATGAAAAGGCCCAATTAACTAATATTAAAATTGATGTAAGTTCCATTTCAAATGCATTAGACAACTTAACCTATTGTAAGTCGTCCTTCAATTCAATACGCATTATAGGAAAGGAAAACTTATAACTCTCTGTGACTCTTATCAAGGGTCGAAGACTCGACAATCATGATACAAACAGGTTTGTCTATAATCTTTAACAAATAATTCAGTATTTTATAAACTATACGCGATTTTGGGATTCTGAAATTTATTGAATGATGATTGTACATTATTAAATTGTGATTTCAATTTCGGAGATTTTCTTACTAAGGAGAGGACACATGAGGAAAGATTGCAATGATTCGTGATCAATACAAATTATTTGTAATGGCAGGACCAAGAATGCAAGTAAACGTCAAATGTTATCATCAGTATTGATTATGAACTGTATGTTTTGTTTTCTGGTTGATTTTAATGGCCAGAGTCGCCACTTCCTTGCTAATCGGTACTTCACTGGATGGATTTTACCTTCTGTTCTCTTTATTAATGGTCATAGAAATTCAAATAGATGCTATTAGCTGATTACATAAACATTGTTCAGTTATCACACTGAAGTTTATATGAACTGATAGTCAACTTAATTTTTAGAGAAAATAGTAATTTGCGATATTCCCTGGGTAAAAGGGGGCTGGTTGCCAGTGGTTATGAGAAGAGTGATGATTCTGATCATAGTCAACAAGAAGAGAAGAAGGGAATATTGAACGTTACTTTGTGTGGGACAATTGAGAAAAGATTGCAACAAGTTTCATTAGAAAACAAAGGTAGTGTGAATAAGTATGTTTGCATTAGATAAATGCCTGAATAAATGTGCATCAGAAAGTAAGTAATGCAATAATAGAGTTTACCTCATTTATTTTGTTTGTTTAATGCTTTGCTTCAGGGATTATGAAGTGATCTTAAACTGGAAAGAAAGGTGAGAATCTTCATGTACATAGGGTTGTTGCTTTTTAGCTTCATCTTTACCTTTTGTTTGTTTTGAACTTCCTTTTTCCATTTCCAATGAGAAAAAAAAAAAGGAACTTAAATTAATACTGCAAATTTTCATGAAAAGATGAAGTTGTTTCTGTTTGACCTCATTATATATGTCTACCAATACCATGATCTAAGTCTCTTTCTGCGTAAAGCTAATGCTTCAGCCTTCAGCTAAACAGAGAATGGGCTTGAGCCCATCATCTTAAAGTGCATGAATACAAGTAAGTGTAACAGAAAGCTTAAAATCCGTGAGTTTAAATGAGAAAATTAGATCATCACATTTATTGTTTAAATTACAAAGTTGACATTAACTGGTGTGTACACGAGTATCATGAATAATCCTCAACATGGCAAGAAAATTACAAATGTCAATTTATGTAGTATTCCCAAAGGTAAAAGGACCATCTAAACATGTGCAAAATTTCAGTAGCGCCATCAATCATCACATGGTTTATGCAGAATGAGGTGACTGTTTTCAGGGACCGAAAGCCTCTCTTTATCGTTTGCAACGCCAGCTTCTGTAACGGAGCCAAAGCCACTCCTTCGTCCTTACAAGGACAAAATATGATAAACAAACACGCCCTCTAATATTCTCCTCATCCAAGAGACTCAAATATAAAATTAGGATAAAAGAACAAGTCCGCTTCAGAGTGTATCTTAGAAAAGGACAGCTTCATTGACCTACTACTACTCTCCACTTTGTTTATAATTCTATGGCTACAAGAAACTTGAGATCATGATGTGATTGTGTTTGACTCATCCAACTACAACTACAACCTTCCTGCACAAGTTTTGGTACGTGTTTGGTGATGCTTAAACATAAACCTATTGCTTTCAACTTAAGACATGGTTCACTAGTGGCTAAAATACCACTTTCGTAAATATTTTATAGTATCTCACTAACATCACCATATTATTATTGGCTTAGCTTAAATATTTTACAGTTTTCCTCTCACCTCTCCATAATCACAAGGAACATATAACAAGAGTTAGTGTTAGCTGAACTACAAAATATGATCCTTTTCCTTCAATTTCACACTAAGTCATTATAATTTGTCAAGGCAATAGTGTAGATTGAATGTGGGTAACGGACCCACCAATAGCAAAAGAATCAGATTATTGGAGTGTCATCATTTGCTCAACGACTAACTTTGGTTAGGTTTTTACACTTATAACCCAATTCTACAAACTTTTTCTCAGAGTCCCAATATAGCAGCTCGCAATTATTCAGTTCATAAATGGGTCCCGACTGCCCTATTTTGAGCTGACATGTTAGGTTTTTTGAAAAAAAGTTTGTAAGATTAGGTTGTAAGTCAATCTTTATTATTCTGAATTTGCTTCTGATTTTCACAATCCGACCACATTCAATAAGTTAACTGCTTTTTGAACCCACTTGAAAGCTCATGGAAGCTGCACCTTTTATTTGAAGAGAAAGCTAATTGAAGCGTATAGCTTTGTAAATTACATTAATGGGTATTAACAGAATAACGTTAAAGTCAATTATGCTTTTGGCTTATGCTATAGTTGCGGTGGGTATAGAATTCCCTTTATTATAAATGCTATTTTAATAAGAGTGGTCAACTTTTAAATGTGACCCAAAGTGTTTTAACAGAAAATGACCTTTAACCGTGACAAAATGGACACCCAATTACCCCTTCTCCACATGCTTCTTGCTGCCTTCTTCTTACAAATTTACAAAATTGGGAACTGCAGCCCAAACTATAAACCATACATATACTTAAATATCAGATGTTTATCGAGTTAATAATTAAGTCATTTTATACAAAATTAAAGAGTGTAATTCTGTCACACTCATCTTTGCAATTATTGGTGTGATAGGAATTAATTTGATTTGGATTTTAAGTTTTCTTTTTATGTCATTTACCATTCAATAAATCAATAAAATTTAGGTTGAATAGGAGAATTTAATCAATGTCTTTAGGTATACTCTAAGTTTTCACCTTTTTTATCCGACAAATCGTGTCATGAAAGCTTACTATATATGTTGATTATATTACATCATCCATAAATCTCTTTCATATTACTATGTTAGTAGTGAATTTTAATTTTTATTTTATTTTATTATAATTTTTTATTGTTTAACAAATTGAAGTTTATTTCTTGTTTTCATATCATTTATGTTGATGCTTGTGGTTAGGTGATGTGTCTAATCTTAAATCAAACAACAATAACAACCAAAATGGAGTGAAACCACAGTTGAATGGGATGTTGTGGTAGTCACATTAAATGATATATTATTTAAATTTAAATTCATAAATTATTATTAAATATCTTTTAATAGTTTTTTTTTTTTTTTTGGTCATAATTGAGAGTGTTCGGGTCGGTTTAAGTGTACCTCAACTAATCATTCGAGATCCTAAAACTACTTACTGGATACGAGCTCCAATAGTCACCCCTATTAGTAATTGTGATGACTCGAATTCAGGAGACTATGTTAGATCATTCTCTTGCTCTGTTACCTATAAAATGACTCAAACTTAGGAGACTTTACTATCAGACTATCAAGCAGTGGTTTAAAGACAAACATGATTTTATTAATGAGGTTTTGATAATCTCTTAAAAAATAATAAAGGATTTAATAATTTACATGAATTTAATTATAGTAAAATAAATTAAACCCTTAATTTGAAAGGAGTGGTAAACTTGTAAATTATGTAAAAGTACAAGCCCAATTCAAAGATCCATCATTTTTTTTTTTGACAACAAAGTGAAAAAAACTACCCGTGCTTGTCTTCTCTGTGAACTTGAATTTTTCTTTTGAAACGAATAAAGCGTAAACTCTCATCAGAGTATTCAGACTCAGATAGCACTAGCTTCAAAAAAATTTCACCTTTTTAAACCTTCTTTTAATATTCAAGATCCTTAAAACAAAATTCCCATTTCTTAAGATTCATATTCTTCTTCTTCTTCTTCTTTTCTTTCTTGTTCAAGTCAACAGTTTCTTGGAAAATGTTATAGAAGGGTGAAAGTCATGATGGGTGGTGGTGCTGGTGCTGGTGCTGGCGCTGGCGCTGGCAGTGCCGGTGCCGGTGGCGGTAGAGTTGAAGTGATAAGTAGCAAGGGATGTTCACGGTTGTTTGTTGGCTTGTCTCCTTCTCTTCCTTCTTTTAAAAGCGTGCAATCCTTTGAAGCAACAATGTCTCCTGCCTCCTCCTCTATTGGCTCTGAATCGCTGCTTCATCTTCGGTCCAACGCTCCCTTTTCCGGCCTTGTAATTTGTGTCACCGGTCTCTCCAAAGGTATATGCTTCAACCGTTCAATGCTTTATCTTGTGTTTTTCAACTCTACTTGTCCCTATCTTGCTTCTGTTTTTCACGAATTTCGCTTTTTGTATTTTTGTTTTTATTTCCATTCTCTCTTGCATGAATTTTACTGCTTTCATTTTGGCTAGTATCACTCTGATATTGATTTCTACTGCAATCCCAGTTCAGAACTTGTTAGACTCAAAATAAATAAAATAAAGTCTGTTCTGAAAAAGGAAATATAGGAGCAATTATAATTTTTTTTTCTTTTTTTGATGATAACATTCAAATGATTAAGAAGGAGAGCTAATGGGTTTGAGAGGGGAAATGGTTTATAATATATGATAGTTGTTGTTATTAAGTTATTCTGCTCGATGTATTTCACTTTGGTATGATAGCTTTTATCTTTTATTTTCATTCATAGAAATATTGGGTGCATGAGATTACTGTTACTTTTGTAGCTGAAAATAGGCTATTCATATTTGTGCTCCTTTATTTTGGCAGAGGCAAGGAATCAGGTCATGGAAGCAACAGAAAGATTGGGTGGCCAGTACAGCCCCGATTTGCATCCTCAATGCACCCATTTAGTAGTGCAGATATCCTTTAATATATTGGAAACAATATACATTTTGTTCTATACAATTAAATTATGAAGCTTTGAAGATTTTACCATTAAAATAATATGGAAATGACATTTTGGGCTCCCTTTTTGTTCTACTATCACTAAATAAGTCTTTTTGCTTGTATGTGGGAACACAATTTCATGATCATCTTTGGTTGGTTTAATGAGAGAAAATTATAGTTTTTGAAAAAGGCTTTGACAATCTTCCATTATTGTATTTATGCTAATCATAAACATCAAGGGTTTTTCTCTATGTCCTTGAACAAGCATATCTACTATGTAGATGTTCCCACTTTTGTGATGTGGTTGTTTACCCTTAACACTGATTTACAGCTTTGGTGGACGTAAATTTGAGCATGCTCTGAAACATGGATCAAGAAATGGACTCTTTGTTGTTACCCTTGGATGGTTTGTAGATAGTGTAAGGAAGAATGGTAAGAGTCCGCTACAATAGTTCATACTGAAATGCAATGATACATTTTGTTTCTGTATTCTAGATTTGATCTTTCACACCATGGCTTGTATTAAACTTTGACCGAAGGCTCCTATGTTGGTTGTTGTTGCACCTTTATAGTCTCAGAAATTGTCAGTTAATATGTTTAACAAATTTTTAAGTACTCAATACTTGTTAACTGTTTAAGTCACAGACCTTGCGATCTGGACATGGTCATAAACTATTCAGAAGATGACTTAGGTTCTGTTGAAGTAGAGTTGCTCCCTACAGTTTATATATTTAATACGGTTTACATGGGCTTACATTACATGGACCAAAATGGTTAAGGATAATTTCATTTTTTTTTTTTTTTTTTTTTTTTTGGGATTTGAGGAGTTGGAATTATGTTTTTCAAAACTCTTCCAATGAAAAACTTCTTTTCTTTGTTAAGTAAGAAAAAATATGAGAACTAATTTGACATATGTTTTTTGCTTATCATCTGAAATTCAATTGTTCTTATCTGTTGTAGTGAGGTTGAAAGAATCGCTCTACACTGTTAAGAGTATAAAGGAATATGGTATGCACTTGGACAAGTTGAATCGACTTCAAACAGGTACCAACAACTCATGTTTTCCAGCTGGCATTTATGATGCAAAGCAGTTTGACGTGAATGCAAAACCAAATAAACATTTCTCTGAAAGAGACTCTAATAGAAGCATGGATTCAACCCTATCTGGCCACTCAATGTATGTTGATTCAGACATTTCAGAAGAACTTCGGAATAAGGTGAACATTGAATTTGATGCTGGAAAAACTTTTATTGTGTACAATGTTGATTAAGAATATGTTCTCTCTCTTGGTTTACGATTAGCTTTCTGATACAGTTCTTATGTGATATCTATGCATAAATGTTAAATTCAATAAGTTGTTACTCCCAGTTTAAGCTGAAGCAGTATATTTCATCATCTGTGTTAGTGACTTGGGCAATCACTGAAAGATCTAATATGTTTTATAGGTCTTTGAGGCAGCTGCTAGAGAAGGTGCTACACTTGTAGATCAATGGTTTGTTGGTTGCAATGCAAGTCATGTAGTATGTGAAGAGACTTCTGTCCAGAGATATCTTGGCCTTTCTAACAACATTGTCACGGTCAGTATTCTATACCTCTACTGAAACTGGACATATTTGTAGACTTGAAATAGTTTCTTTGCTCAAAATTTTAGGCTCTACAAGAATAAAGTTTTCTGGCTGTCTCTGTATAATGCTTGCACGCATTTTGGAAAGTCTTAAAAATGACATCACCTGTAACATGGAAGAGCTTCAAATTATCAAGAGTGCTTTTGTTTATTGCTTTTATCATGATAAAATTGATTTGATACGTGATGTGTTTCAGCCTCTTTGGGTTCTGAAAACAGCAAAGGAGAAGAATGTGCAGAGGCTTGTTCACATGTCAGCTGATTTGGCCAGGCAGGTTGGAACTATGCTTGAAAATCTTCAAAATGGCACTGTAAGAGAGGTAGTTCTGGTTACTTGCTTTCAGAATTTTTAGATGCTTTTTTGGACAAAAGAATAATACAGGATTCTAATATATCCATATACACTTTCAAGTGTAAATGACACAGTTGTAATTGTAAAAAATTTCAGCTATAAGTTACTTTCTTTGTGTGGCGAAACAAGTATAGTGAAAGAATTTATCATGAAATACTGTTTCTTTTATATCCTCCCATATGATTTTTGGTACTGTTAGTGTTGACTATCACCTCCGTCCCCTGTATCTTCTTAAGGAAATTAATGGTGGAAATGTTCCTCAAGATGGTAAGAGCTGTATAAGTAAAGCAAGCTATGAAGAAAGGCAACAGATTGTAAATTTGGCTAAAACTGGTGTCAGAAATCGGCGTGGTCGTCGTATGCAGGCAAGTAGTCAGTCATGAATTTGTCGGCAAGTTTTTACTTAATGCATGCTTGGTTCTGTTTGTCTGATTATTCCTAGACTGCAAGTTTTCCATTTTCTCCATGCTCCATCTTAATGTAGTGGTTTTGACATGTAATACAGCTGACATTTAAAAAGTTATCTTTATGTCGTTTGCTTTTAACTACATTACATGTTAGTTCTATTTATTTGTGATTGTATTACTGTTGGGGTCAGATTAAAATTTGACTTATTGTTGAATGCTTCACTGTTGAACTGATTACTTTGTGTTAAATATAAATCATAGAACTTGTTTTTGGATTTTGTTCTTACAGACTTGCCAAACCCCAATACGTCCATTAACCCCAAGCAGCCTTCTGGATTCAATATGCTGGTCTGTCTCTGAGCCAACTTCAACTGCTTCTATATACACAGACTCTTTCAGTGGTGAGGATGTTAGTGAACATCAGTCATCCATATTCTTTGATGCAAAGGAGGATAGCAAGTATTCAGAAGCTTCATTTGCTAACTTAACCAGATTGCTTACAGAAAGGTTGTTGATCTCTCTCTCCCTCCCTCTCTCTGCTATTGTAGAGATTTTGTCTTTGCTTCTAGGTGTAAGGTTGTGGCTGAGATTTGATCCTCCAGCTCATGGATCCTATTATTTAGTGTTACAAAAACCTGTTGTCACTTCTTGCTATCAAATGTGGAGAATGATTTAAATGATGTATGCCGATTTTGACCTATTAGATGGGACCATTTTGAAAACCTCGCTTTTTTTTTAAAAGTGTTTATGCTCTCTCTGGTTAACTGGACCACTAACTGAAAATCTTTTTTGATAATTTGTCTGATTCAATGAAGAGTGCTTTATTTCACTAAATTTCTTTTACATGTGGCTCTGCAGTGAAAAAAGCGAGTTGATATTTAAGAACCATTTTCTGACCATACTCTTTCCTGTTGATCGATTTACTGAGATGGGGCCTTCTTCGCGAACATATTTCAGTGATAATGGCTTCACATGTTTGCAGGTGTTAGATCATATCTATGAATTTTATCAGGTATGATTTCAAGATGTTTGCTTCTAGGACTACCACTTGTGGATCAATAAATATTGTGTCTGTATGTCTGAATGGGTGGGAGAATGGGTGTGCGTGAACCTGTTTCAGGTTTCTATTGAAAATGCTTATGAATACTGTTATGTCCCTTTTGTATGCCTCATTAGAACTATATGGTTAATATAGCTTGGAAGCTTCTCCATTGATCATGAGTGGAAGGAGTTTCTTTCTGGAATCCTCAATGTGTGTTGATACCCTTTTGCAGGAGAACATGTCACCTCATGAGATCATTTCAGCTATTCACACTGATTCAAGGCATGCTGACCGGCTACGTGCGGTGTACTCCAGTAAAGAGACAGCAGAGCACGGTTATGTAAATTTTAAACGAATTGAATTCTTAGGAAGCCGTAGAAGTTTTGAGATGTTGAAGCACGTAAGCGGGGATAACAATAGTAATGTATATGAGCTCTTGCTGAGAGCATGATATTATCTTAACAGGGTTTCAAGTCCCCTTGTACTCGTTTCAACACAACGGTGCTGGTGATACTGACTTGTCAGCTACACACAATAATCCTTGTGCCTCCATTAGGTACAAATCCATGGACCGAAAGCGGAGATAAGAAGGAGAGAATTCTGCTTTGTGTCATAGAATTACTTTTTATGTATACATGTTCTCGCATTTGATGTGTGTAATGAACAGAAAATGAGTGATACCCTAAATATCAACGTGTGTATAGAGTATACCCCGTTTGAGTGCTTTGATAACAATGTAAATTGTAGACATTTTTGTATGATTTTGAGGCTTTGCTATCAATTGTAATTTGATCCGTTTCATGCATAAGTGCACTTGTCCCATAAATGCATGGATTCTAGTTTTGCAATTCTGTAATTCGTCCAAAACATTATGAGAAATGCTAGCCTTACAAAGATGCATATAAAGAGGGGTATACAAAGACAAATCTTACCTTTAATCTTCATGATTGTTTTTCTTTTTCTCTTTTTTTCTCTTCTTTCAAGGGTTAGATTTATTTTTGTATGCCTCTCTTTGTATGCATCTTTGTAAGTGTAGCATTCCTCAAAAATTATTATATTTAAAGACCAACAGACTTTGTTAAAAGTTTACTAAAGTTTAATGTTATTCTCTAAACGAAACCTTAAGGTTAACCTTAAGGGATTAGTCTGGTGGTCAAGGAGGTATGTCTCCTTCCTTGACTTTCTGGGTTTAAGCTTTGGGACATCTATTTCAATGCATAATTGTGTTTTACCCAGTTTATTTGGTTTGTAAGATACTTAATGAACTACCGAGATTAGTTGAGATATATGTAAGCTGACCTAGATACCCTGGTTACCCAAAAAGAAGAACCAACCCATTACCCAATCTCTATTTATTCATACCGTTGCTAGTGTTTTTATGAACTATTAGATTGACACTATCTACCATAGGAGATACTGATTTAATTTATGATAATGTAATGATTCGTTATACTATATTTATTTGTCAAATCAAACTCGAAAGGCCCACCATCTCCTTTATAGAAGTTTCGCCTGTTGTAATTTCCGAGAGGCACATTTGGTCAACAGACAGGAAGCTCGAAATATGAGTAAATGTTCTTGAAAACATGGGGCTAAGGACACATTCTCGAATCCAAATCCAAATGGGGTGGCCTTTAAAGTTAGTATTCACATTTTTCATGGTCTTGCCAAATGCCAAATGCCATATTAAGTATTCACATTTTGTAAGCTGTGCAATTAAATATCCCTCATCACTTTACGTATGAAATGATGTCTCATGTTTTGTAAATAAGATGCATCATCCATGCCCGCATTTTCAATGCAAGGAGATTGCTTTGACTTGAATCTCTACTAAAGGAAACCTTTATAATCGATTTGGAAAGTTAAGACTTCAATAGAGGGTTTAACTATTATTTAGCTCTAATGATTACTTGATATCAAAGCACAATCACTAAATGATTTGCATTAGCTTCTTATCTGTTAATACAGAACCCAGTTCACTGTACAGCTTCATTAAAGCGAAAAAAGTGTGCAAATATACAATGGAGGGTAATGCTTTATGTTCTTTTCTGCACATAGAGCTTCCATTCCTACACTAGGTTCACGGTTAATAATTGACTGGACAAGTGACCAGCATGTTTCCTGATTGCTCTATCTTAAGTTACCGTTTTAAAACTCAAACTAGACCGACCGGTTCAACCAGTTTGACTGGGATCCGGTCTTAACTCCGATCCGGATTAATATGAAAACCGGAAATAATATAAAATCTGCTTTAGACCGGCAACAAACTGGCTGAATAGTGTCAACCCGCCGGCCCGACCGGCTTGGGGCTTAAACTGGTTCATTAACTAGCAAATTTAATGCCTAAAAACACCAATTTTTAATTTGCTTCATTTCTTTCTTCTCTTCTCCAAACCGCAGCTTCCATTTTCATCTCCAAAGTGCAACTTCCACTTTCATCATGACTTCGGCAGTAACAACACCATGCAAGTAGGGAGAACGAACTAGGAAGGAGATCGAACTCATCACAGTCAGTTTTTCTTTAATTTCAAAGACTGGTAGAGTAACAAGCAAAGAAACAAACACCAGAACAGTAGAACACCCATCCAACATCAACAGCTTTTTGGTTTTTTCTCTGTGCTGGTGCCTGGGTTTGTTCCCCTCTTGGTTGAGAGTTTTCTGTTTGGGTTTGTTGTATTGGCTTTTCCCCTCAGCTTCTTCTTCTTTTGCGTGTCTGGAGTCTTCAGTTCTGCAGCTCTCTGCTCTGGATTCATGCAGTTGTTGTGCTGGTCTTTGCGTTTGTTGGGGGCTGCAATCCTTTGCGGATTTTTGCGGTTGTGGTGCTGGGATTTGGGCGCTTTTCAGGGGTGATGGAGTCTTCTCCGGTGTTAGAAGTCTGCAATTGTGGCTTTGGGATTCCTTTGGTTTGGAGTTGCAATCCTTTGCTGGAGTTTGATTTTATGATGCTGGGTGTTGGGCTCTTTTTTGGGGGCTGTGGTGTTTGTGTACAGCATGTGCGGTTTTTTTGGGTTCTCCTGAAGTCCTGCAAAGGTTTTGTGCTGCTATCTTTTTTGTATAGACCTCTTTGAGGTTAGTTTAGGTGGCTGTTTTGGATTGTAAATCCGTGCCTTTCATCTTGTTTTTTTCTTCTATTGTGGTACTATTTAATTTAATTTCCTTCTTTATATTGAATAATAAAAATGGGTTAAAAATTTTCAGGTTCATCTTTTATATATGAGCATGATGTCAGTATGTTGATGTCATCGATCCAACCAACCGATCCAACCAGTTGGACTGGTTGACCTGGGACCCGGTCACCTTGTCGGGTCTCTCATCAGGTCAGGTTTTAAAACAGTGACTTAAAGTTAGGTGACAAGGATCAGGATGGTGAATTATGAAAAAATATCACCACCCTTCTATTTGTTACGTTAATACATGAAATGATATCAGTTACTGTCAAGACTTATTAGGATTTAGGAATCACTTATGATGACTTTACCCTGTCGTTCAAGGTTGTTGAGCAAGAGCAGTGCTGCAGAATCAAATGAACTTCTCTTATCAGCTCTGGGATCTCCTGAGCACTCGATATTCCCAGATCCAGGTATATGCAGAGTGATTTTTGATATAAAACTGTTAAACCCCTCTCTCTTTCCGGAACTTTCATCAAATATCATGGGAGTCCTGTGGGCGGCAGTAGAATTTAATTAGGCCAAGATTAATTATCAGATAGTAAAATAAAAACTTTGGAAGGTTCAAAGGAATACTAAAAATCAGAGAACTTGGTTGATTGGGCTGACCTTGATTTATGTTCTGTGGTATCGAATGTAGGCATTGGCCAAAGCATCGTCTTGCAAAGTTGGAAGAGTGAGGTTCGGGGCCCTCCTTTCTTTATGTTGATAGGTGCAATAACTGTAAAATGAATTGGAAAAGAACATAGATAAACAATCAAATTACCTCCTAATTCACTTCTTGGAAGTTAAGCTTTAAGAATGCAGAAAAAGAGTTCCCAATAAATCAGACAGAAGAACAGAAACATCATGCAATTGCGCCCATATATGCATAGGCATGCTTAATCAATTTACTTTTCATTAAAATGAGTACAGAAACAAATGAATGCTACATACTTGGTGTCGCATTGGTTGGACTGCAGGCTTTGATAGAAAAGTCACTGACAGGGGCATGAGTTTCGGATCCCTTGAGCTTTTTACAGGCTGATAATTCTGCCAAATCTTCATTAGACGTCTGCCTGCCGACATTATTATCCAAGTCTAGAGAAGATGAATCAGCAGAATAATGAGGGGCCAGTTTCCTAGTTTTGGATACACCTTTGCAAATTCCTCTACTCTGTTGCATTACAAGTTTTAAATGCTTTAGCATGTGCTAGTCAAAGTTGTACGCATGAACTTGACATATGAAGCAAGATTATATAACAAAAAAACACAAGTGATCACTCTAGACGAATATGCTATAAGAACTGCTTAAGAAATGATAAGAAACCAATCATCTATGTGACTCATATAAGCATTGTGCCACTGTAAACAAAGCGCACATGCACAACAAGAAATGGTGAAAAGCGTTTCACTTTCATAATATTCTTGTTAGTAACAATATTATCATTTAGCTTTTCTTTATAAAACTACATGGAATTTACCTGCTTCACATACAGAGAGAAGGATGCGCATTGAGAATAAGGTAAACAAACTTCAAACGGGAGTAAGAACAAACCTCAAGTTTCTTCAACAACGGTAAAGCTGCATTTCCTTTTGCAGCTTTTGTGCTCCTCTCCTGCCCTTGTCCAACCAAAAGAGCATCTTCCAATTGCAATGTCAACTCTGCCTGCACCATTTCCCCCTTATGTGTACATTTTATCTTAATAAAGTACCCTAGAGAGTCGCACAATTCATTCAGTTCACGCAGCGGAGGGAGTTCAAGTTTATCAGGGGTCACGATTGGAGACAATAATGGTTTACATATTCTCCACACTTCATCAAGATTAAGCTTGCTATCAATCAATATTGCACCAACAATACTTTCCACCAAGTCTCCAAGAGCCTAGCAAAGAAAGGAATGATCAAAGGAGGGCATTTATAATTAGAATTATAAGGAACATAAACTAAAATCTCAAATCAAAGAACCATAAAAAAAAATATTTAGATTCACTAAAAACAGATTGTATTCTGAGCACTAATAGTGATGTGGCTGCATCTGTGTTAGCATGAACATTCCCATATATGTACACATGTGACTAGTTCTATAAGAAAATAAATAAATAAAGACTTATAAAACTGTAGATCAACAAAAGAGCTTACCTTTGGAGCTTTTGTGCTGGGGCCTGAACTATTTGTGTCACTGAGGTTGGGAAAAGACTTTACATACTCTGTTATTTGACTTAGTAGTAAAGTAGAACAATGTTGAAGATGCTTATACAGGTTATTTCTTACTGCGACTTGAGCAAAATTTTCATTATTAACAGAAGCTGAGCGTAAATCAGTCAAGTCACCAGGATCAATATCTGTATGGCTCTGATAAAGATGCCAGGTAATAAGCAAGTCCAGAACGGCATCTCCAAGAAATTCAAGCCTCTGTTAAGATTCAGTTCAAGAAGTCAAAAGAGAGATCATATGGAAATCTGGCCCGTAAAATTCAATTTATAGGTCAATATACACCTCAAAAATATGAGATTTCTCCCTATTTCTTTCACAGCAGGTTCCAAACATCATAAGAGAATCAAGTAATTTAAAAAGTTACTGGTAAGTACAAATCAACAGTTGACATTCCATCATTACCTGGTAACAGTAGAACTCTTGTACAGATGCATGTGTAATGGCCTCCTGTAACAGAAACTTGACAGAAAATTCATATCCAACCTTTTTCTCTAAATCCTTAATCTCATTGGTTTTGGGAATATATGATTGTATAGATGCCCTAGTAATGGCTTCAACGACTAATGAGGGCTCAATGTCAGCATCAATACCAAGCCACTTCATCACATGAAGTGCAGCAACCAATCCTCCGCCAATGTAGTATGCTCCGATGAGGGCTTCAACACAATCAGATATCGTTTTTGAAACCATCCATCTGTGACCCATGTCACATAGCTTCCCAACCACAACTTTTGTGTCCTCAGTAAAAAATTTCCCATCCAATGGTACTTCTAAAGTATCCACCCCACATTCACAAGGAACAGGGAATATACAAAGCTGTCCTGGAGCAGCCCAACGACGGGGATCAAATGCACTGTCCCGTACATATCCCTGGCAAATAAGAAATGTAAAGCTATTAACAAGAACAGGTGAGCAGAGAAATAAAATTCACATGAGCATTGAAAGGTCTTAGCAAAATCAATACCAGAAAACATACAGCCATTCCAATCCAATTGATAAATAACAGAGGTAAGATTCAATACCTGTAACTTGCGATCCGCTCCCAATTTATGTAGGGTTGAGTTACAAATAACCCATTGACGCTGAGCAGATAATTGGCCTTCATGCTTTCTGGGATGTGTAAGAAAGAGGTGGCAGCTTACAGCATACTTTAGAACTGAATCACCAAGCAATTCCAACCGCTCCATAGAAAATTTTTCACAGCATCTAAGTGTCGTGAGTGCTTCCAAAATCTAATCACAAAATTGAACTTGGTTAAGTTAAATATTGCATGATAGATCAAAGGACAACCAAATTAAGCGAATTATTCCAATTTCACAGTTATACAAACCAAGGAACTTGATATATGGAGGGAACGGCAATCAATCTCATCTCTAAGTTGGCTGGCTAACATGAGGGACTCCAGACGTTGCATCAATGATGGGAGTAGATAAAATGATTTTAGGACATTGATTGGAACATCAATAGTGACCAGAAGCTCAGGTGGCATGTAAATATGAATTTGTGCCTTTTTCGCTCGCAATGCCTTACCAGAGCCACCTGTTCATTTACAGGAAATTATTAGTAAGCAGATAAACATGGAGCAATGGTTTTCTAAATCAAATTTGACAACTGAACTAAAGTAGTCATTTAGACATTTAAAATGCACACTTAGATATGATGAAATGCTAATTTTTTGCCTCTCTACTTTTGTGCAGCATGTTTCGAGAAATCTTAACAGTGTAATATAACTTGAGGAACCAGATGTGCATCCATACAAGCTGTTTGTAAAAGTGAGAAGAAAAGGAACAATAAAGTTCACTCTTTGTTAAAACAGATTTAAAGTAACAGTGCAGAGTCCCTAAATCCTTTATTCTTAAACTCTTAACTAGAATTTGCAGCCACCTTTTCCACCTTACACCCTCCCCAAATCCAAACAATAATCCTGTGAACGTGAAAATTTTGGGAATCACTAGTGATAAGAAGAAAATCTGGAGAGTTGCGAAAATGTTCATAACCAACCAACAAGACATCAGGAGGTGAATTCACAATGAGAATTAGCATATAGGTATCTACTGAAAATAATAAATATGTCCTCTTTTTGGGCCCTTTTTTTGTTTCAATTGAACTCAAAAGTCAATAACAAAATAAGGACCTTACCAAATGTAAGGTCCCAGTAAAGGAGCTTCACTTGGCATACAAGAAGTGATTTAAGATTTCACATGTGGAATCAATAAGTCATAGATTTGATTGCCAAATTAGATCCTGAGCACTAGGGATGTCAATGGGGCAGTTTGGGTTGGATAGTAAGAAATCCATGCCCATCTGGTTTATGAATATCCAAATCCACCCCATTATCCATTTTTTAAAATAAGGCAGGTTTGGGTTTGGGGGTTTTTTTTTTTTTTTTTTTTTGGAAAAACCTTGGATCGCCCCATTTGATATATTTTTTATATATAAAAATAAATAAATCTAACAAAATGTATAAAAACTATTTCTTAGAATAAATTGATAAATAATATTTTTAACTATCTAATATAAATTTTTTATTCAAAATTTAATAATTCTACCACAAACAACTACTTATTTTGACAATAGAAAAGACAAAATTCAATATAAAATTAATGTTCATACAATTATAAAGTTAAATCCTTATTTTCAGATTCACAAGTGTAGAAGATGACAAGAAATCAATATGAAGTAATTCAATGCAGGAATAAGGTTGTGATGGCTAGGGTTTTCTCTGTTTGAGAAAAAAAGTAAATAATATAACCTAATTTAAATAATACTATAATTTTGATGTTAAATATTGAATATAATTATTTATTCATAGTTATATATTTTAGGGGTGAATGGAGTGGGTCAGGGTTAAAGTTAGCATTTCCATGACCACCCCAAAATAATTTGGATCAAGATACTCAAATCCAAATCCAATCCACCTGAAAATTTTGACTATCCAAATCCAACCCATTAGGGTGGGGCTCCAAACCCATGGGTCATTTTGACATCCCTACTGAGCACACATATCTTAAACTTTAAATTGTGATTCAGAGTGGGAAGTAAATCTGGCATTAAAGAGGTCATTGTGGATGAAATAAGACTCAACCATTAACCAACCTTCATCATTAAAATTCACAAGAAGGTTGTGTGCATTATGACTCTGCTTCAACCGCAACATAGGCTGTCCTGGATGCTTCAGCACAATCCCATATCTGATCAGAGCCAACATTATTAATGGAAGCATAAATGATAATCTACAAGGAAAGACCACAATAAACACAAAGCCCCATTCAGGATAACATATCACCTACTTTTTAAGGAAGTAGTCCATGAAGGTAGTATATACTGATGAGGCACCATCAGCAGTTCCATCAAAAGGACTCTCGGCAGATGTATTGCTAACCACTTCAACTGTAGAGTAGATTCTTCCAGTATGGATAGCTAATACTATCCTATTCTTGAGATCTTTTGCATCAACAGAACAATTAGCAAAGTGGATTATATCTGCACTGTTGCTTTCTATCTGAGAGGAGTTGATCCTACAAGGTGACGAATTTCCTTCATAACCATTGGACTGATTAGAACCCAAATAAGAGTTTTTCTTTAAAAATTCTACCACAGCAGCACATGCATTAATTCCAGTCCAGTTTATTCTCCAAGATTCCTGACCAGAAATGCTCAAAATCTCCAATGGTAGAAGCAAATACATGTTTGATGGACTCCACAGTGATTTTGTTTCTCTCTGAAGTAAAAATTCTCTATTTTTTCCAGATGATTTGCATTTAACAAACAACCTTCCAAACAAGCCATTGAAGAAAAATTCCTGAAAGCACTTTGCTTTGGTCATCTGGTACAAACAAAAAAAAGTAAATAAAAAATAAATAAAACATAATGGCAACGTATTCTATACTTGCCACTTGAAAAGTCAAATTATAAATGAAATTTGTAAGTTTATGCTTGACCTGTTCTGCATCCAAATGCACTTTCCCACACGACGAAACAGTAGCCTTAACGGTTTTTGAGACCAAATACAGCTCCAATTCAAAATTTCCCACATCATCATCAAGTTTTGACTCAATAAGAAACATAAATCCAGAGTAAATCTCACTAGCAATATTACAGGTGAAGTCAAATTTATAGGCATGTAAAACAACACCGTCAACTTTTTCTCTCCAGGTACCAGATAATGCACGAATAGGAATTGTCCCATGCAGTTCCTTCCTTTTCTTTCTTCCTTCAAACACAAAAACAAAAAGCAAGATAACTCAGCACAAACTAAATAAAAAGAATCAGCAAAGATCGGCAAGACAAAACCTTTAACAAAATATGAATAGAGGTGAAACAAGAAACTCACCGCAAACAGTCCAATGTTATTTTCAGCAATATAGAAGCAGTAGAAAGGTAAACACCAACAATATAATACAAAACAGTGGCATTAAGTCATGGAAGGCATGGCCTTTTTCTAACATGCTTGCATTTATTTACAAGGAGAACTAGGAGCAAACAATATTTAACTACTCAATTTCTATCATCTACATATTTAATATTGACAAAATACCAAGTCAGTCTATAAGGTGTCCTATATGTGTTTTAACAGGAAGCTTCACCATATCTATTATTGCATACTTATAATTCCATAAGAAGAGTGGCATATGTTCTCATGGTTGACCTAGACAGTATATAACTCACCTATTTTCAAGCAAACTAAGTTTTTCTCTACACTTCAAATTAAAAATAGCACACACTAAACAGTCATGCATAAGATTTGATGTACGCATACCTGCACCTGGATTCTTTTTTACATTAAGATTGTTTTCAGAAGGTTCTTCAATGAAGGGGAGAAGATGATCATTCAGAGCACCCATTTGATGCAGCTTTTTACATGCTTCCAAGCACACAAACTGCTTTGATAAGTTTTTGTTTCTGCTTGGAGGACCAGATATTGTTTGGAAAGGCGCATTTGAAGGTAGCGTCACTTCACACTCATAAGACTTTTCAGAGGATTTGTACTTAAAGATTGGCTTTGGTGTGTAGTACCTATATTATGCAGTAGACAATTATAACTACATGCATTCCCTCCGTATGCAAAAACTAATGAAAAAAAATACTGTAAAGTACACAACTATGTATAACCTAAGGAAACAGAAAAGCATTTCCATACTTGTCACTAGGGAGCTTTTCACAGTATCGATGTATGAGATTGACACTGGAATCTGAAGTTACTGATGCTCCAGTTACATCCACAACATAGGCATTCATTGTTCCCAAGGTACATGCTTTCAGAACGCATGAATCAGGGTCTCTACTCACAGCTGTATCTGTCATCGATTGTTCACTCCTAATGACATCAAAAAGTCTATCTCTTTGTTTAATGTTTCCCCTGCAAGTATACTTGAGTGGTTAGATTTTGTGCTGCTACAACCTCATACAGACAAGAAAAACAAATATACGTTAAGAACATGCATTGCAAGAAGCATTTCATGACTTCAAAAGAATTCAAGTGTATCGGTCATTCATAAATACACTATATGCATATGTTTTTGTAACACACAGTGACAAGGTCAGGGCTTCACCGCTCAAGCATTAAGATGAACTGGGAGTTATTTTGCCGAGCTCGTCCACGGGACTGAACATAACTACGGACTGTCTTGGGCAGGTCAAAACGGATAACACAAGAGCAGTTTGGTACATGAATTCCCTCCTCTACCACATCAGTAGCAAACAATAGATTGACCTACACAGAAAAAATTACTCATCTCTTATTAGCTAATCAAACATTTTAATTGTCGCTTATTAGCTAATCAAATGCCCAAACTTCTTGTGAGGAGAATTAGTGATACTAGAGATTAGATACCTTTCCGCTCCGAAATGATTCCAAGATTTCTTTTTGCTTATTTGGTGCAAGAGAATCAACTGATGTATTACTTCCAGTCAAATATGAAACTGTTAAATGAGCCAAATAGTTTACTTTCTTCACAAACCTTTCAACTACTTTAGCTGCAATAATTCTTTCCACAAAAATGAGGCATAATACTTGTGTAGCTCCCCTGCCAGAAAAAAAAAGTGACAGTAAATCAAATTATGCTATACCATTAAAAGATATTAAAGACAATAGGAAATCAACTTTTGCTATGAGACCTAAAGACATTAACCAATTAAGTTGTTCAATTACCCAACTGATCGGAATAGTTGAAGAAGTTCATGCAATTTTGGAGAGATGTAGCCCAAATCTACTGCCTTTGAATAGTCAAAACCAAAATCCAAAAAATTTTTATCACCTGTGGGATGAGAAGGGAATAATATTTGATAAATATATCCTATCTGAAGTGGAAAGTAAAAGATGGCAGATTATTTGAATCAAATTATAAAGTATCATAAGGCAATACGGCTAAAACAAGTATGCCAGTCAAACAAAACTATTTCAGCGTATCCATAGATTAATTTCATAGAAGTTGGACAGGCAACAAAGAGCAGTAAAGAAATTCACTGAAAACATAATTTGTTTTTATAAAAAGAACAGTGATTCTTCAACAGAATTATCCTCAGTCATGAGAGTAGAAAATTGAAGCACAAGCCAGCAGAATAAATTAATAAAAAAAAATCAATGACATTGAAAAGATATAAATAAAGATTCTCCAGAGACCTTAGTGAAAGAAATTGATATATAAATGTTAGCTATGACTTAGCTTTAGTAAGCATTAAATGCTAATTACTCCTGTAGGTAATCCAAAACAAGTATTAAGCATGGAACTATATTCTGCTATGGATGTACGCTTTCAAGAAAGTACCAATATGTGTTTTTGAAACACTCAACATGCACATTAAGTGGCAGAAAATGCACAGGCAAAGGCTAATGCCACTCACACCTGTTTATATATTAACTCCCAAGTCCAGAATAATAGAATGTCAAAAGGAAGCAGACAATGCTTACAGAACACATCAACAACCACACATACCAGCTAATAGGAAAGATATGTAGAATATATGAAAGAGGCATTCACAAATAACCAGTAATGCATTTGAAAAAGAATAAAAATTTAGATAAGCAACAAAGATAGTAAGTTAGTTCATAGCATACCCAGAGGCAAAGATCCCCCAATTATACACAATATTTCCTCAAGAAAATATTTACACTGCAATGAACTTTCTCTATAAATTTCGCACTCGTCTTGGGCATTCGGGACATTCTCCAGACAGACTTTAACAGCCTAATAACAAGTCAAAACATCAAATCAATACCAAAAAGGGAGACAAAATAAATACCAAAGAGCAAATAGACTTTTCACCAGTATCTTGTGAACAATTACTTGACAGTGAATTGCCAACATTAAAAAATATGAGGACGTTAATAATTGTCTTCAAAGAAAGATAAAGAAATCTAAATAGATATTCATAAAACATTATTTTGGTGCCCCAGATGTGGACTTTTGACCTGAAATTCATGAGCCTGCATGTTAGGTTATCATTCCATCATGATTTATGTTATTATAGCAGCCTATGTTAGGAACAATACCAAGTATTAAAGGTCTCAACAAAGATAACTTTTCTTTACTATACAACAAACATTCACTTCTCCGCATTAATTTAAACATATTGGGTGTCCAATCATACCTCATACGCACATATAAGGCCAAGTTCATCTAGGCAATATAAAATCTTCGCATGATAATTGGACAGCTGCTTTCGAAGAGTCTTATGCTTATCATCCATATCTTTGTAAGAATTTTGCACTGACCCTTGCAACTTTGATAGTGAGACATCAAACTGTCGATAAAAAACCAATAGATTTTCATATCCCCACAAGTAAACCACATTAAGTGAAAGCTAAGAATGTGTTTGTGTTGGGACATTCGTTAAACACATAAAGATAGGGATGCATTATGTGCAGATACCTTAGACCATGAAATTTCCATTTTTGTTTTCAAATTCAAACTATTAAAGCTTGATTGGTCATAAAATTTACAACTTCCAACTGCAGAGGGAACATATACTTCCATCTCTGTCCTGTCCCCAATGGTATAAACCTGCAGCATCATAAATTCATAATATTATTGTTCTGCTTCTTAGTTTAAGCCCGACGATCAATGCAAAATTATCAAATAGAAAGTGAGTACCTGAGAATCCAAGATGCTTTCAAGTTCTGATATTTGACCCTCACAATCCATCACTGATGAGACACCTGAATTGCAAAGTAGTTTTTAAAAATAGCATGTTAATGCATGGCAAGTAACACATGAACATCTATGTCATGATAAAAAGATTGTTTTAACAGAGTGCATAAAAGAATGGGAAGAAAAGTCCATTAAACAATGAAATCTCGTTGCATTAAATCAAACCATTTTACATAGAAAGAACATCTGCACAGGTTCATGAGATATACTTTCTAATCATAACAACATAGGAATTAAATGCAAGTGCTAGAAGTGACTTGTACACGCCCTAGGAACGATTGTTGTTATCAAGCCATAAACATACAATGCTACATTTTTCATAACTTCCCCCTAAAAGAAAAATTTTAGACATTGCACCTTCAGTAGAGGTGATCTATGATTTGAAGAATTAAAAACAAGTTCTCATAGCCACACCTGTATAAAGGTATATCTTTCACAATAACAAAGCAAATTTTACATAGCATGGTTCAACAAAAATTTTTAAAAGATATAATTTCATAAAATCCATCTCAATGGCCTTAGTCAAGCACTACACATTACTGGAAACCAGTAGCTAGAATCATCCAACTAAAAAATGATGAACAAAAATTCTCTTTTCACAGAACACATTTCTTCTCATTGTTGATTGTTGATTAATTCAACAAACTCAAAACAGAAGTTTGGATAAAAAATTTCAAATAGAATGTAGAAAAACTCATGTTTAAATAGTACTATGCCAAAAACTTAAAGAAAAAAAGGCCTATTGAGTTTTTCAAAGTCCAATTCAGCTAATAAACTTCAACCACCAAAAAAAAATATTCATAAAGTTTATGATTCATCAAGAAGCACATATCGCATAATCATAAATCAAGAAAAAGTAGACAAAAAACACTTCAAGCACTATAACCGCCCTATTGCCACTAGCATTACATGCACATAGCAAAACAATATCTTACCTTTTCTTACCACAGGTGATGCTGTCATTCCAAAAACCTTTGGCTTGCTATTAGATTTGTGATAAAATTCCTTCCCCAAAAGAATAGATATAATTGAGATGTTTATTCAAAAGACAAAAGACAAAATAAAAATAAAAAGGAGATTATATGAAGAAGGAAAAGAGAATGAAGCATAACATAAGATAAGCAAAATAAATAATTTATGGCAACGAAAGATATAAACCTTCATAATTTTTGCATATGGATGATTCTTAGTAGCATGATGGCACTCATCTATTATGATGAAGCATACCATCTCTAGCCTCAAGAATGCCTTCCTCAACACATCCAAGAGGATTTGTGGGGTCATAACCAATACCTATAAGAAATAAAGAAAGTATGTGAACCGACCTAACACTATTGTATCAAAAGGGTTTCAGGATTCCATGAAATTAGCAGTCACAAATGAATTGAAAAGCTTCCACCAAGAATTTAAAAAATGCTTGTCTTATTATATGTACAAGCAACATACATGGACTATTATCAAACTCCACAAAAAAACAATTTTGTTGATAACAACTTTCTGAGAATAAACCAACATATATAAAACAAACAACTAAAGTAAACAACAAAAAGAACAATTTCTAATGATTCAATGATTAAGCACATGAAAGTCAAGTCCAATGAATTGCGGCAAACAAGAGCCTGTTTAGATTAAAAGAATATTCCAACTAAACAGATTTAATTTTAGATAACTCCTATAATTGAACATATGTGCCTACTAGATATGAAAATGCAGATATGTGTCAACACTTAATATTAGATTGCAACAATGACACGTCAGAGAATTGGCAGCCCAACAGAAACAAGTGTTGACACTACAGCATACAGAATACTATCTCCGAGCTATGAACAAAGCAATCTTACATCATTCTGATTAATTTCTTTCTTCCAGCAGTCCAAAGTCCATTCATCAACTCCCTTGGCTCCATAGTACTCTTCTACTTTACAATCTGTATTAATCTTGATAACATCATATTGCTGCAACACAAAACCATATTTTCTTTTCAGCATGTGATCCAATTAACCAGCCACATTGCATTAGTAACAATCCCTATGAGATACCTCTTAAAAGTTTTACTTTTGGACAAGCAAACTTAAGGAAAAATAAATAAAAAGTAACAGAAATCATACTTGATGAACAAGGTGAACAGTTGGAGCCAAGAAAATAATCAACTTCTTTTGACCGTTAGACTTGATAGCTTGCGCAATGTCTTTTATCAGCATGACAGCTATCATAGTCTTCCCGGCTCCTGTCTCTAAAACTGCTATTGTGTTCCTCTTCTTGGCAACTTCAAATACCTTCAATTGATACCTACAAACACAAAACAAAACAAAAACTTGAACACAATAACAACCAAAATAATGATAAGAAGGAAAAGAAGGTGAAGAAAAAACAAACTTTCTGGGGTTGAAGTTCTTAGAACTAGTAGAAGAGGAAGGGTCATGAACAGCATGATCAAGACCATCGGAGCCCACATCAAGTGGGGTTGAAGAGCTCATCTGATCAGAGCTTCTCTTGAGTGAATTATGGTTCTCCATTGGAAAATGCTTGTTGATTTTTTGCAGAACAATGATGGATTGAATGAGAAAAGAGAGAAAAAAAGAAAATACAAGAAACGTGAAGCCCTAAAGAAAGGTTGGTGGGGTTGAAAGATAATCAAAAGGACGATTTTATTTCTAGTTAAGAATATAAAGATAAAGCATTGATCGCATGATTTTCAAGGAACGAGTGACTTCTTCTTCTTCTTCTTCGTCTTCGTCTTCGTCTTCACACAGTTCAAGCTTACAGAGTCAAGTTGACAAAGTCGATATCAAAGCGAAGAGAAATCGGAGATAAATAATGGTTTAGAACTAGGAGATCATTTTTATTTTATGAATAGTAATATACCGACCACACCCTCTTACAATTTTTTTTTTTCATAATTTTGACATAATAATTTATAATTACAAATTTTTTTCACAATGTAATAATTTGTAATTAATTAGTTTATAAGAATGGATCTAACATATGTTCTACTAATTAATTATAAATTTGACTATTATAAGTTATAAGAGGAAAGGGAATAAAAAATAGTTGTTGGCATAATATTAATACAGGATTCGGGAAACAGCAGAACAGAGCAGAACACATGTTTCACGTTTGGCCTTGGGGTATTTCAGTTTCGGGAAGGACACGAGAGGCTTTAACTGGGCAGCCCTGAAGTTTAAGAGACCCATATATTTTATAATATAACACTTTCACCCTTATAGTCTCTAAATGAAACACTTACACTATTATGGTTAAAAATACTCTGTGAAAAATTATTCCAACACATAATCTTTGATACCTTGACTAATATATCTTTATTTCTTTTTCATCTAGAATAACAAAAAAAAAAAAAAAAAAAAAAAACTAATATTTGATATTTTTCACATATAAAAAATATCAAATTTATTAAATGATTTAAAAATATAACTTTGCAATGCAATAAGACATTTTGGGAAATAAAAACCTTATTTTTTTTATTATGTTATCTATTTTATCCTTATAAATAGTTACTTTTTACAAACATCATTCAATTATAAAGGTGTAAGTGTTTCATTTTGAAACTATAAGGTTATAATTGTTTTATTGTGAAACCTGTGAGTTTTTTTGTTCTTTCACTAAACTTAGAGGTGTGTCTTGAAAAATGAAAACCTCAAGGACACAACCGAAAGACTTTTGAAGTGGCACTTGAGTTGTGTGCGTAAGTGCGTTGAACTTTTTGATACAATAAGCGGTTCAAGCGAGTGACAACACACTCCAATTGTGTTAGGACATGTGTTGTCTCCAGGTGGTTTGGGATACGGGTTAACGGGTTCTCAAAACGAATTTGTAAAAGAATAAAACTATGTGCACTAACCAATGTGTACTAATCCAAGTACTAACATTGGAAATTTGAAATTCCCTCCAAATTTTTTTTTCAAATTTCCAATATTAGTACTTGGATTAGTACACATTGGTTAGTGCACATAGCATTACTCTTTGTAAAATGGGTTACGGGTCATTCGTTTTGGTATTCATTTCTTTTTTTACGTTTATGCCCCCGTAGAATCTTAATTACATGTTATATTTATATGATCGTTGATTAATTGTCAATTTTTAATCGTTTTACAGAATATAATTATATCATTTTATAAATAATATTTTATTAGTTTCAACCAACCATTTGTAATATGATAATGTTGGATATTTATATTTCATAATTATCTTTTGATTTATTTACATTTTTCTACCCTAGTTTTACCGAAATTGTAGTTGATACCCCTTGAATGCCTAAAGGCCTAAACATGTGGAGACTGCCACGTTGGACGATTGAATACTGACATAAATGGACGGTCATCCAACAATTTCGAACGGCCATCCATACATCCTAGACGGTCGTTCATAGTGGAATGGACGACCGTCCATAAAAAGTTGTTTTGTTTTGAAAAAAAAAAAACAATGAAAACAAAGTGGACAACCGTTCATAGTGGAATGGACGACCGTTCTATTATAGGGATAGGTGTCCATAATAGATGGACTGACGTCCATAAGCAATACAAATTTTTTTTTTTTTTTTTAAATGAAAACAAAAAATTAGATGGACTGGCGTCCATGTTATGTTAAAAATTTTAAAATTTTAACTTCTTCCCACTTTGGTGTCTATTTAGTGTTAAAATTCTAAAATGTTATGTTAGAATTTTAACTTCTTCCCACCTGTCGAGCTTGTGATTGTTGTCGCTCCTACTAAAGCTTTTGTTGTTGATGAAACTGCTGTTGTTGCTGCAATTGATGATGTTGAAGTTCAAGCTGACGTTGTTGGTGCAGATGAAGGGTCAAGAGATGTTCCATATCTGGAGCTGGATGGTTTGCCAACTATTGTTGATGAATCAGATTCTGATTTGGCAACTGTTCTAAAACTGATTCATTCAGGCGTGTAGGAGGAAACATATTTCGCTTTTGGAGCTGCTGTTGCTGCAATTGTTTAGACAAAAGTTGCTCCGCTAGATCAAAATGGTTGGATTCCTATTCCATGCATCGCATATGGTGAGCAGCCATAGGATCTTGATACACAGTGGGGGATAAGATATTAGAGGAAGAGGAACAGAAAAGGAAGGAGGTTGAAGAGAAGCTAACAAAAGCGGAAAGTATTGTAGAAGAATTGAGAGAAGTTGCAAAGCAAGAAGCTCAAGATCATTCTATTGAGATCTGGAAACATAAAACAGCTTATATATATATATATATATATAGTGATGGATGGAGCAATTGATGGCGACATGGCGTGTTTGAATCTAATAAAACAGGAGAACTTTGATATGTGCAGTCAATAAAGATGCTGAAGAAGCATTCAAAAAGACTGTAGAGTTGGATAGGCTGATTGATATGCTTAGAGATGCAAATCTGAACGAACAGAGGAAGAGAAAGTTTTCTGAATAATGCTCTTACTTTCATTTATTTACAAGAGAGTTTATATACAAGTCTTAGCTGACTAATTACTAACTTACTAACTACTTAAGCAACTAATCCAACTAATTAGACCTGACTAATTAACAACTTAACAAACCAGCTAAAACGTGTGTTAAAATTGATAACTATTGAATTACATAAATACCCCTTCCAATTAATTCCTACATCCCCCCCTCAAGTTGGAGCTAGGTGACAATCACTTAAACCCAACTTGGACAAGAAATATGTACAATGAGGAGCAGCAAGAGGTTTAGTGAAGAAATCAGCGAGTTGCTGTGAAGATGGAATGTACTAGGGAGTTATGAAACCTGCCTTGAACTGATCCCGAACCACATGACAATCTATTTCCAAGTGCTTAGTACGCTCATGAAAAATTGGATTGGCAGTGATGTGTAGGGCAGCTCGATTATCACACAAATAGTAATAGGTAAGGAGAAAGAAATCTGCAAGTCTTGAAGCAAATGAGATCCATTCAACTCACAACGTGGAGGCCATACTCCTGTACTCAGCTTCTGCATGGACTTAGAAACTGTAGTTTTTTCTTTGTCTTCCATGAAATAGAGAAGCCCGAGGAGCACACAATAGCCTGAGAGACTGTCGAGAATCAGGGCAAGAAGCCCAATCAGCATCACAATAACTGTGACTGTAAAGAAGAGTGAGTTGGAAAAAATAAACCTTTAGAAGGAGATCCCTTGAGATACCGCAGGATTATAAGGCAGCATCCCATGTTCTTGGCAAGGGAATTAACAAACTGACTTAGCTGCTGAACAGCAAACTAATATCAGTCTTGTCAAATTAAGATACTAAGCAGCCAATTATCTTCTATACTGATTAGGAGAAGATAAGGGGTTGGAGATTCTGAACTAAGCTTGCAACCTTTGAGAAAAGAGTAGAAACAGGCTTTGCACCAACCGACATGTGTCTTCAAGGATATCCAAGATAATTTCCTTTGATTGATAAAAGTACCCTCTGAAGAGCGAGCTATTCTATCCCAAAAAATATTGGCATACCTAATCTTGATAGTAAAAACAGAATGCAGATAAGCCTTGACCGCTGCAATATCACTTTCATTAGGCCCATTACTAAAACATTACAACATAAACAATTGAGCCAAGAAACTATCTACAAAGGTTTAGTAAGGACAATGATCATGCTTGGACTGAACAAACCGTAGGCCAGTAACTTAGTGCAGAATTCATGATTCCATTGTCTGGAGCCTGTTTCAGGCCATATAGGATTTGTTTAGTTTGCAACCTCTCTATTTTGTGCCTTAGAATAACCATCAGGGAGGAAACAAATAGACTTCTTCATCCAAATATCCATGTAAGAAACATTGTTAATGTCTATTGGTGTAATGGCCAGAATGGGCAGTAGCAATGGCCAAGAAAATTCTCACTTGAACAAGCTTGGCAACCGGAAAAACTTTCCAAATAGTCCACCCCTAACTTGATTGTAACCTTTGGCTACTAACCTAGCCTTGTATCTCTCAATACTCCCATCAAGCTTGTTTAATTTTATAAACCCATTTAGTGCTAATTGGTCTTTTTCCAGGTGGTATGGAACTAATTCCAAGTATGTTTATTCTAAAGCATCAAGTTCATCATTTATAGCTTTAATCGAAGTAGGTTGTTGCAAGCTTGATGATAAGAAGTAGGTTCTTGGATGTTGAGACATTAGCTAAAAAATTTATATATGTATGTGATAAACATGGAGGATCAATGTAAGGGTAAGTTGGAGGTGATGAATTGAAGAACAATGAGATTTACAACAGTTGAAATCTGATGGGAATTATGACAATGCAGCACATAATCATTCATCCATTTTGGTGGCTGTTTAGATCTAAACTGTGCCTAGGTAGAGAATTCAAGTGGGATAGGCTGTGAATGCAATTCTAATGATTAGGAGACAAATTTTGAAGAATTAATTCATCAGAAACAGGTTCAGTATGCACACAGTATCACTCTAGGTGATGAATGAGTTTCTAACTCAACAGAAGGTATAGTATCAGACCTATCAAAAACAGATGTAGACTATGAGTGAGATGTGGCAGGTAAACAAGTATTTTCTGTAGGGACAAGTCTTCAAAAACAGAAGAATTAGTGGCATACATGAAGGCTGTTTTGCAGTAGAATCAGAGAAAAGGAAATAGATGTTCAAGGAAAAATACATCTCGAGAAACAAATATTTTTTAGAAGACAATCATAAAGCTTAAAAGCTTTCGACCTTGACTATAACCATGAAACAACACCTATTAGCTCGTGGTGTCAAATTTATCCTTGTGTGGCAATGTATTGGTTGCATAACAAAGGCACCAAAACCTTTAAAAAATCATAGGTAGG